ATAAAAAAATTTTTATAAGTGTAATTTCTTATGTCTTATGAACTTTATTCTATATTAATTAAATTATATAATATTCATGAAAGTCTGTGTATTCCCCTAATAAGATATTTTAAAATAAAATAAAATACAAAACCCAGAATTTTAGCATATTTTTGAATACGGAAGCCATTTTCACCAAGATGAAAATGTATACTTCGAATTTTTTTTTTTTCATAGTAAAGTATATAATATAAGTTTTAATAAGTTTTTTTAAGTTTTAATTTAATTTAAGATTAACTCACAAACAAAAACAAAAGCAAGAACAAGAACCTAAGGCACCGGCCTAAATCAGCGCCTCATGTCCTCTTGTGCCGGGCGGCGTGGCTGCCTCTGTCTCAGGCGTTCCGCTTCCTCCTTCTTTAACAAAACGGATTCGGCGAACGCCTGGACGAGCCTCCACGCCTCCCGGCTCCCCAATATCAGGTCCACCATGGACCCGACTCGGAACGTAGACCCTAGTCGGGACTCCAACGAGTCCCGCTCCTGGGCTCACGCCTCGCACCAAAAGAGGGTGTGCAGAGCGCTGTCAGCCTCTACCGGGCGATCCGAACAGTGGTCACACATCGGCGCGGCTGCTTTACGAATACGGTGCAAGTATTCGTTAAAGCAGCCGTGGCCGGACATCACTTGGGTGAGACGATAAGTCATCTCACCGTGAGTCCGGTCCACCCACCTGTCCAGCCGATCGGGCCCTATGAGGGATCTAGTCCACTCGACTCTCGTCGTTTCCTCCGAGAGGCGAGTCCGCCACCGGAGCATGGCCATCCGCCGGTCCTCGGATTCGGAAGTGACAACAGGATACCCACTCCGGACACCGTTCGGTACGCCGAAACTGTCCGGATCGCCGCCCGCCTCTGTACTGTGATTCAAACAACCCCTATATAAGGGAAAATTGTGCAAAATTTAATAAAAAGTATGTCAAATAAAAGATATACTTATATTGTATTTGGAAAATAAAAATTGTGCTGATACATACATTTATCAAAAAGTTATAGCATTTTAAAGTTGAAAATTTTAAATCGAAAATTTTAACACAAAAATACCATTATTTTACTAAGCAGCCGTTTGCATGTAGAAGATTAAGTGTCGGGACAAATTTTATTTTTTCATTTTACAGTATATGACATTATCTTTGATTTGGTATATGTTTAAAGGACGCAGTATTTCCGGAACATTTTCAAAAGTTTAGTTGAAAAAGTTTTTGAAAAAAGTTACTATTTTAAATCCCCCCCTGTGAGCAGGTTAAGTGTTAGATTTTCAAAAAAATTATATCAAATGAAAGGGAAATATCTAAGAATTTAATATAAAAAAAAAATTATGTTGATTGGTTGATTTTTGAAAAAGTTATGGTAGTTTTAAGAAAAAAAATGAAAAAATTTACCAATTTTAAAAATTGTAAAAAATTTTTTGGAAATTTCCCCCATTAACGGGGAACGATTGTGTGATATTCGCTAATTTTATATTAGTGACTTATAAATTTCTTGAGGAAGGTTGCAACAGTATCACTTGTCACCTAAGAAACCTAAGAGGTATTCCTGTCCTGAAGTACTTTAATTAATACTGTTCCTTAATTAATATTCAAACATGTTCAAAAATATTTTTATTTAAAATAAACATTTGTATTTTTTTTAATTCAAGAAAAATGTTGAATTTCAAAATTAATTTTAATTCATAATTAAAACATAATTCTAAACATAAAAAATATTAGAAATTTAAATTAGTAAATCAAACATTCATATTGTTTAATAAGTTTTAAATAAACTTAAGCATTCACACATAAACATTAAAAATTTTCACATGTGGAATATTTTTAAATCAAACTCTATTATAGCTAAATATTTTTTTTAAAATTAAATTTAAAATTGTTTATAGGTTGTTGAAATTATTTTTAAAATAATTATATACAACTATTTATTATGTCATCAAACTGAGTTTTGTTTTTTGTTTGGCATTTTTATGAAATTATTTATTCGTCAGTTATTGGTAAGGAACATAATTATTATTTTTAAAAAGTGTCATCAAATAACTATTATCTATAGAATACATTATTTAGTAAATATAATTTATTTACTGGGAATCGGATATAACAAATTCTATACATTGCTTCTTTAACTAACCTTGATATTTAACATTTAATCGAAAATGTAAGAAAATATTCAAGTAAAATTTTAAAATTTGCAATCTAGTTTTTGTTTATTAAATATAACCAATACATCCATTAAGTAAATAATATGTGTTAGTTTTGATCCTATATTGGAATTTAAACTTATATTTACTGTTAAATTAATTTTAATATCAATAAAAACAGTTATTAATAACACAAATAAAATATAAAAAATAAGTAGTTTGAAAATACTGAGTTTACTGATAAAGTTAGTATTTTCAAACTAAACTCAATAATTTCTATTTCATATATTCATAAATATGCTGATTAATTTTTTTTTTATTTTAACGAATGTGTTGATGTAGAAAATTTGAAAAAAATGCTCAAAAATTAAGATGCAATTTTTAAATATACCTTATGATTAAATGAGTGTACAGTATTAAAATATAATTTTTTAAAATATTTACATTTGTCATAAAGACTTGACTTTGTCATTATTCAATCTATAGCCATTATATTTGATTTATTATTGATTCGTTGAAAGAACATGTCAGTTTGATCTTAAAAAAAAAACATTTCTTTAATGACAATTATTAGATAAAAGCTAATGTGAACAATAAAACTATGTAAATTCTATCTATAGATAAAATTTGCTGAATTTATTTAATAAAAATTTACTTACGATTTTGATGTAATATAATTTTGATATAATTTCTTGTCAATTAAATTACCTATAATTTATTTTATTTTTATCATTGATTGTCACTATTTATCATTTTGTATTTTATATTTATTATGTATATTATGATGTACAAAAAGGAAAACTCCATTTGCGCATTTAAGTACGCAATACCGATCAAATTTTAAAAAATGACATAATTATAATAAATAGTATATAATACTATTAATATAAAAATTAAGCAGATTCCTTTTAAATCATTAAAATTCTTTATTGAAAATTAAACTTTATTTAATCAGAATGTATTAAATAATTTTATAATGAACTGTACGTTTGAAAAACAATAACTATTTTTAAATTAATTTCGAACAGTTATATTTAATTTAAGTCATTACCAGAACTGTGAAGTATATGCATTATAAATTTTGTCAAGTTAATCCGAATACACCATCAAACAGTACAAATTTTTTAATTCACTTTTAATTGAGTAATTAGTTTATTTGAAAACTAAGTAATATGTTTTTTTCGATGTTAATAGTTTGAACAGATTAAAGGGATTATTTCCCCCTTAAATGAAAAATATTATTGTGTTACTATGTAGGATTACATAACAAAATTGGGCTTCAATGTTGCTAAAGTAAAATTTATAACTGCATATAATTTATAGCCCTGTTCATTACCATTTTAATTAAGCCATTGGTTATTTGAATGTTTGAACAAATATAAATTTGATATCTTTTAAAACTATCTTAATATAAATTTCGTTAAATTTTTTTATTTTATTGGTTTAGATTGGTTCGAGATTGTATTTAATTTATGAAACAAAAATCTAATCAATATAAATAATAATACAAATTTATTAATTATCACATAAGTTTACCAAAAATAATCTTGTATCAATTAACGAACTCTTTTTTACAACTAAAAAAAAATGCACTAAGCAGGGGCGGATAGTCTCAGCGGGAAAATCTCGGAATCTCGGTGGGCGGCTACTTATTTTAATGAAAAATATTGCTACTTATCTTAGATATAGTCATGTAAGCCGCTAGATTCTATTTTCCAGTTATGCCTATCCGCCCCGGAACTAAAGATTTGACTTTACTATGGTGCTAAAACCACATGTTATATTTCACCTTAACAATAGTAAAATTAGTAAAGGAATGCACGAGGGTATTAAACTCATTTAAAATTGTAAATTATACATATACATGTATGTTGACGACATTGTAGTTTATTTTATTATAATGTATCAAAGTAATGACATTGTAAAATAAATCAATTACATTTTTCTATTAAGGAAATGTAGTACAAAATAAATTTAATTAGTGGACTAATTTTATTTAATTGACTACTGGAGAAAATTTAAAGTATGAAAAATTATTAAAAAAATACAATATTATTAAAACTTTAAAATGATATATAAAAAGAATAACGAGTGTCTTACGTTGTATCGTATAAATTTTCTAATGGTTTGAAAAAATAATAGATAAATAAAAATTTGTAACTGAAATGAATTAAAAATGTCGATGAAGTAAATAAATGGTATATTTGACCGGCGTTTCGATTAGGCAATTTAGGCACAACAATGTCAATGGCTCCCTGACCGCCGTATCGTGGGAAAACAATGCGATACTCACGTTGATTATCAAAACACAACTTGAACATCGTCCAATGATGGTTACCCAAGTTTTTATGTTTACCTTGCATCACACTAAATTATTATCAATTAACTATCATTGTTTAGCTTCAAATCGCAAATGTGCTACAATGGCAATGTCAACGTTAATTTCAATGTCAACCTTAAATATCTTATTTTATTATATTATTACTATACATTATTGTTCTAGATAAATTCAGAGAAAAATAAGAATTTTATCATTTTATTATTGTGTTCGGTGCATTATATCATTAAGTAGCAGAAGGTTTTAATCAACAGTTACAAAGATATAGTAATGGTTATCGTTATAAAAACGATTGAGTGTAAGGATTAAAATACACACACGTCGCGGTCGGCCGGCAAAAAAGTATTTGTAATGATATATCTATAAATGAAGTGTAAACAAAGCACGTCAAAACTAAGCAGCGTTCGACATCGGCCGGCCTTCGTCGGCCCCACTCGGCTGAAAATTCCCCGTCACCGCTGTTGCCGCCGTCACCGTACAGCACACCGTCCGATCACATTTTCCTATCACAGTGAACGCTTTGCGTGCACGCGGTCCATACCATTTACACACCATTCGCTCGCTTATCGTCGCCACTATTTTATATCTCATTCATAACGCCGGTGGTATTGACTCGAAGTTAATATTTTTCTTATTCACGGTATCGCACAATATACATCAATTTTTTTTTTTTAGTGTTCTATATATTTAACTTTTTCTTTTCAGTGTATTTTTTTTTTTTTTAATTTGGGTACTGTGTTTTTGTTCGAACTTTTTTCTAAGTGCTTTAAACTTAGTGTCTGAACAGATTTCGGGACCTCAGTCACACCTCAAGTATTGGATAACGTCCTTTACTTCTAACCTTCATTAGCAACTTTGGATTTTAATGCTAGTGAGTAATCAATTATATACTTGTCTAGTGTAAGGTTCTTCAGAAATGTTTAACTAAAATGAAAAATGTATTCATAAGAAACCTCTTAAAAAATATAATAATTTTATTATTGATCAAAAAGCCAATAACCTTTAAATAATGACACATACAGACGAATTTCTTCAAACTATGATTCCAGTAACAAAATTACAATACAATACCTACGGTTTTAGCTTTTACTCGAATGAATGGATTTAAGTCATTAATAAAAATTTACGACAGTCGATAACCGCTAAATTTTATAGCTATACCGGTACACGTTGAAATATTATCTCGTATCTATGTTTTGATTTAAACGTTGGTTAATTGTCCCTATATATATGACGCTTTACACTTTACACGTTACTTAGAATGACTGTACGAAAATTATATTAAAAAGTAATGTTGGCTATGATATCCTTCTTTCGATAGAGTAACCTTGAACTTCTTGTTGACGTCCCAGACCTTATACGTAAAAAAAATCGAAAAAATAAAAGTTGAAAATTCCAAAGCTAAACCATGACTGTAGAGTAGACTAATGACTATCAAGGTAGCACACCTTCGATTTTGTCGGCAATAATCCTTGGGCGAGCCCGCGAAAATAATCCAAGTACAATTTTTTTGTTTATGACTGTAACCCTCATAGAGTTTGAGTGCAATGATCAAAGTTACACAAGAAAATGCTATCGTTCGAACGAGGTATCGTGTATTAGAAAATTATAATGTAATCATAAATTAAATGTTAAAAAAATGCTAGTAGGTATATTATAGCACACCACCTCCAAGCGGGTTTCACAAGGTTTTTAGCAACGCGGAAGGAACGGTCGCCTTGATGATAACTCGTCGACTTCTACCTTGAACATTACCTTGATAGCCACCATCGCCTGCCTCTCTACAATAATAATAATACACCGACAACAACAATGATTATATTATATTAATTTGCAATATATAGATATTAAAAAAAAAAAACAGCGTCTGATGTAGAATAATGTGTATGATGTGAATACAAGATCTATTCGATAAATGAAACTTTTGGTCGTAGAAAAGAAAATCGCAACGAATTCAAAGCGACAAATCGGATTTTCGGTAATATTTTTAGTGTCAGGGTCGTTGCAAATAATTATTAATGAATTTATGTTGTCTTATCCCAACCGTAAAAGCAATAACAATTATAACAATATCAAATCGGCACAGCACTGCTATGTAGACCAAGTGAATTCCGATTGGGTTTCTCGTTCACACATTATCGTATGTCATTTTCGAAAACAACTGTCGTATTATTCATTTTTTAAACGTGCCTTAATATGAACGCATTAAACGCGGATCGGTCGGGCGCGCGCAATGCGATCATCATTTTACACAACAGCCTTGAGTCTACGTATATGCGTGACACACTTATTAGTATCATATTATATTAATAACTATATTATGCGTTATGTGTAACGCCAACAATAATGATTGTTTTTCGATTATTATCGTTTTACAGCAGACGGTTACCGTTATGGTAAAAAAATAGTCATTAAGTGTAACAGCGCTCGCTTAACGCACAAACCGTTTCGCCAAAATCCTACTGAGCCGCGAAATTTTCACCATTGTATTTTACCTCTTGGTTGGCCTTGTCTTGGCCTCCACGGACCATGCTCTCTATCAAACGATTTCAATAATAGACATTTAAATACGTGTATCTACTTGTGAATAATCTCACCGATTAAAATAATTAAAGAATGCCATTCGTGTATATGAATGAGTTCTCCGCAGACTCCGCCGCCTTCGTATATTACGCGAAGTACTTTAGTAATACAAACACAAATATACATGTGTATTGTGTTGTTTTGGTCGAGTGACCTACTTCCGAACTACCGTCAGGTCGCCTTTAAAGTTTTATTTTGTCATTGTGAAACAATAACATTTGCAAAATCTTGCTATCTAACATAGATTTCAAATTATCTAGTTAGAAATACTCACAGTTTTTTTATTGATAATCTCGCAATCTTTTTTTAGAGTATTTTTCAACGCGTTTGCACGTATTTGTCACGTTTTAAGTATTCTTGATACTTTCCTTAAACAAAAATGACATTTAACCAATATTTGCATGCAGTTCTCACATTATACACACAAAACGGTTGTTGTTTACACAAAAAAAATTGTTAAACACTCGTGTGACACCAGATTTTTTTTTTTCTTTATTTTGCTTTATTACGTGGAAACCAGGTAAAGAAATATATCGACCGTTTAACTGTACATATTGCATATAATAAATAAGAAAGGTGGTATGGTTATTGTGTTATATAATGAATGCATCTGTGTTGACCCTATTTTTAAAACTTTTTCTCCAAAAAAAAAATTTCTTCTACATATGTGTTACTCAGTTGCAACAGATGGCTTAATCGCGTCCATATACAAGTTTTTCCAATGAACTTAAGAATAATTATCTTTGTCAAGGTAAAGTCAGTGATAACTACAGTATTAAATTAGCATTACACATCGTATAATGAACCAGGTGCACAGTCGAATATATTTCAAGACCAACTATGCAATATTGCCGGCCGGCCTTCGAAGTGAACCAGACTAACACTCATTGGTGTATACACTTCGCACGATTTGTTGCCAAAATCTCCCCGACGCAAAAACACACACAATGACCTTTACCATTCTACAATATACGCCTTTTTTTTGCGAATTAGAAAATACTTTTCGCCTACGCTGTATTATTACCCTAATTCCTATAATTTATTTGTCTTTTACACAATGTACTTCATAAAATTTAGGTCAACAATAGCTTGTTTTCCCTTACTCGGATGGTGAACAAAATACCAAAGTTTATAACTGAACAAACAATTCTAATTTTTATTAGAAAATTATTATGCCTAATTTTTTTTTTTTTTCGTTAAGTAACTAAGTTTATTTTTAGAGTCGCATTTACCCAGTGTTTCCGACTCGTCACATTCAAAACAAAATATAAAATGACGAAAAATACGATGCGTAATTTGTGGTTCCCGCTATTCAAAATGTTAAAAAACCGGCATGGCATGTTACGTATAGCTCACGTGAAACTTGCAACTCGTTGTGTTTAATAAAAACTTTATACTTATCCCAAATCGTTAGGCATAACACGTTTCGATGGGTTATTAATTTTCAGTTTCCAATGTATCGTGTACATTTTTAACCAATAACATTATTGTATCACACGAAGACCAAAGGTCGCCTGATATCTTCTGTTCAAATTAAACACAGTCAAAAACAGGTTATCTCTCTATAATAACTAAAATAATACTTTAACTAACGCCTTGTTTGTTTAAAATGTAATCAATATTTAAACACACGAAATTCTACGTTTATGTTCATCGTAATGTAACTCCAGCGCAGACATTTTATAATATTATAGTTGGCAAAATTAAATACAATAGCCTTCCTTAAGGATTTACAAATTTAAGGTTTACAAATAACTCAATTAACTTGAAAACATTTTATTGATAAAATTATTCAACTTGGAAATATGTTTTGACTGAATAGAAATCATTGATAGTATACTTAATCATTCAACAAAATGTTTACAAATTAGTGTAAAACGTACGCGTATTTTATAATTTCGAAACTTATTTTCAAAAACTAGCTAAGGCTTTGTTATTTTCAATCTTAAATATAATAAATATTTCTATGTTGTCTGTTGAATCATATCTACTGAAGAAGAAGAAAGAGTAAATACATTATGATAAGATGTTTCAAGATTTTTAAACAGATGTTTAAAATGTTTAAACATAGATATTACAAATGTTGGGATTATACTACGCTTTTAAACTTCATTAATATTTCCATGGAAGTCTTACTTAAAGTGTTAATAATTAAATTAAAGGGATGGTGTCAAAACTCGTTTATAGATTTCTTATACTATCATATTTATATGAATTTCTATTTCTCGATGTTAACACTAAAATCAAGAATGTATAATTTATTTATATATATTTTTGATTCTCATCCAATCGGTTTTTATTGCAGTTTTTTTTTTTAGAGATTATTTTTTACATAATCTCTCCGACGACCAGTCTTTAATAACGGTACACTTGACTTGTTGAGATCATACGCCGAACACAAGTGTATGTTTAGGAGAAAGAGACTGCAGACCGCTAGGCTAACGGATTCACGGCGACTCCACCGTGTTATTTAATTCCAACGAGAGACGTGAAAGTGAAAACGCTAATAACACCGTTAACAAAATGCCGGTCGATTCAACAAGACGGCAGAGTGAAAGTTGGCACGACCGGGAGAACCTGCATAAAACAATCGTCATGTATTTTCTTTATTCGTCCGTTTGCAATTTAACCCTCAAACAGAGTCTTCTCCTCACGTTTTAACAACATGACACTAAGATGACCACCCCGAAAGTCATACGACCTAAATACTACGGGAATTTCTGCACCGTAAAAATAGTATAAAAACAATATTAGATCTTTATCGACGTACAGGCGTGGATCACGATTTTTAACTTAAGATTCGATGTCCCCTATGAATTTATCTTACTCATACCAAATATTTTAGATGTTCAACACTTGAATAAATTTTAATTAACTCTAGTTGGTCCAATGAAATGACATAATTGATAAATAATTAAAATCAAAACAATGTAACTAATTAACGATTAAGTTTAGTGATAAACAATAATTACTACGGTAATTAACGAATGCGATGATTATTGAATTGGCGATTCTTATTGTAATATTTTCACAAGTTCCCTCAGATAAATTTACTAAAAAAATTTATAAATTTTTTTTTTTCACATATACAGTAACAACTCATTACACTGCTTTAACTAGCAACGTTGTGTAGCGATTTTACATCTGATCGAGTAAATCGCAATAGACTTTGTTCTTCTATTGTTCGTAAAGATTAAAGAATCAAACCTTGGACGAATCATCGGAAATCTTTTGTTGAGAAAATTTATATGCAAAAAAAATCTAAATGTATACGCAATTTGCTTGTTT